TTCTATAAGCCTTTGGTATTTTGGCAGGCATTATAAACTTTCAAGTATGGAATGTAGAATTTCTCAAACCTTTCTAACCACCACCCAACCTCTTTAAATAGCCTTGGACAATGATTCGTAATTTGGAAACTGCTGCTGAGAGAAATAATAAAGAATATTTATCAAGAAAGGAACATAATTAAAACGCCTTAGAATGATTAGTATGATAGTGATGCAAATAACAGATTAAAAAAAGCACTACCAATTCCAGGTAAGTTACTCAACAAATCCATACTAAACACACAAAGTGCTTGCCACAGGGAGGAGATTAGCAGAGAACCCTAAGTAGCAAACTCCCTAGAGGATCAAGAGAGGGCAGAAGCAGCTGAGGGAAGACGGGCTGTCAGAGGACAGGAAGACATCAGCGTGAGACTGGGGGATGGTCAGACTGAGAGTGCACACTGCTCCCCAGAACTCGAGCAGGGCTGCCCACAGCTGCCTGGAACTCCAGGTCCAGGGACTGAACACTCTCGACTGGTCTCTACGGATATCTGCACTCACACGCCATATACACATAAATAAAATAAAAATAAAATCTTAAAAAAAAAAAACAACAACTTAGAAATTTGGGATCAAGTGTAGACAGTACTGGATTTTCAATTTGGTCTTTTTTAGCTTTGTGACAGTAAGAAAACAAGATCACTGAATACTGAATTTTGATATTTTCTTTGGGTAGTAATAGGTCATACAGTAATCTCTCTTTTAGTTAGGCAGTGAGTTTCAGTTCTTAGTCATGTGATACTTACGAATAGGTAATACACAGTATACTGTATTGCCAAACTATATTTGGGAGATTAAGTGTATCAAATGTGCTCTTTTTAAATAAAGTTTTTCATTTATTTTACATCCTGATCGCAGTTACCCCTCTCTCCTCTCCTTCTGTTCCCTTCTGCTTCTAGCTTACAACAATTACAATGTGTTTCCTGGGATATATTCCTATGAAGAACATTGTTTTATTTTATTTTTTGTAATAGTATAACTTTCTGATATATCTAGGTAGAATGGTATTTTATTCTCAATGGAACAAACAAAAGTTTAAAAAGATGTATAAAACTCCAAGAAAAACTATTAGCGAAACATAAAAGATTTTACAAGTATAATAAAAGCAGTCTTTTACTTACATATATCTGGGGGTGCAGTGGCCACATGAGGCTCATCAGAACCTGAAGACCCTGCAGTTGAAAAGGCTTTTGGCTTGACAACTCTTTTCACTAAGGAACAGAATCCTGGGAGATAGGAAACCAGTCTGGCCCTGTTATAGAGCACCTAGTAACAACAGAAATGAACAGTTTTGGAGACAAATAATACATTCTGACAAATCTTCATATTGTGTGCACACACATATGGTGTATGTGTGATATAAATTACGCAACCTCTCATATTTTAAATTAAAAAACCCTTGACTCCCATCTTCCCCCTGGCTTGTTTACTCAGAAGGTTAGAGGAGGGCAGGAGTCCTGGTCTATCAGTCTCCACCTTATTACTTTGAGACAGTCTCTCACTGAGCCTGGAGCTGCTGTGATGGTGGTCAAGTCCCAGTGATCTTCCTGTCTCTACCTTCCCCAAAGTGCTAGTGGTACAAGCATGTGCAGCCATGCCTGGATTTTCACGTGGGTGCGATTTCAAATATAGGTTCTCATGCTTATGCAGTAAGCTAATTCATCCCATTGTGTTGTATCTTTTAAAAACAACACACACTACTATCTCTGTGGAATATCTACTATGTGACAAACAATATGTGTACTTACAATTAAAAAACAAACCCACTATGAGAGTTGTCAGAATCAAAGGGGGGGAGTGGGAGGGAGTGGACAAGTGTGGCAAGCCCTAACAAGGAGGGCATGCTAAGAAGTAGGGAAGTTTTCGAGACTATTAACTGATAAATGAACTGTCACAGAAAGACTACCCAAACCATAACCTTGCACAAAGGCCACTGTAGAAACAAAGCAAATCAAACATTTCTAAGAGGATGCCTAACCAGTAACTGCCTATTCACCTTTGGACTGACGCTACCTGGTGTTGATCCTTGGAGCCAAAAACAATCCAACAAATTATGCAACCCTTTCGTATTTTGAATTAGAAAACCCTTGACCCTCAGCCCCCCCCCCCCCCTCCCTGCCATTGCCTCCAACCCTACTTGTCTTGCCATGCTTCCTGTAATCACTCACTCCCAAATAAAGCTCTGGGATAAAAGTGTATGTCTTTTTCCAATAAAGATCACAAAGTGAATCTATAAATGCCACCTTATTTAATAAATACCACAAGTGTAAAGCAACTAGTAAGATTCTGCTGTCCTTAAACCAGAGACTTGAGAAGTATCCTTGGAGCCTAATGCTTCCTTTCCAGTCCTTTTCTTCTTTAACTGCTGCAGACTGTGCTAATTACTTCCCATGCTATTACTTCTTCTTTGCTCACTTTCCTTAATTTTAGCATATCTTTATGGTGTATTTTCTGATACTATGTTTACTTCCCAGACTGAGTTAAAATAGATGAATATGTAAATAGATGAGCATGGACAGACTTTTAGCAGAATACTTGGGTTAGAATAATTCAATGTAGAAGTTGCCAAATGATTTCCCAATACAGCTGATTGTTGGGAAATGAAGTTTTATTGTAACACAGACACAGTCATTCACTTAAGTATTGCATATGACTGCTTTCACACTGTAACATCAGCATTAGCCTATGGCCCACAAAGCTTAAAATATTTGCTAGCTGGCTATTTGCATTTAAAAAATATGGACATCACCTGGCCTGGAACATCAGGAATGAGTTACCATACTGAGTCATGAATGTCTGTATTTCAGAGCTTAGACAAACAGAATGTTTCTCACATGAAAGAAAAGGGCTACAGTTAGTTACAGCCATCTTCAGCTGACTGATGCAATCTGAGTACAGACTATTGCTGTAGTACCTTCTGACTTCACAGGGAAGCAGATGTCTCTTCACTGAGAATCATGTGACTTGGGAAATTCTATTAAAACTTTATAACTTTCAGGAAAAAAGGGATAAAGTAGTTATATCCAGAAGAGTGGCAAATTTGGATGCTAAATTATGGGCAGTTTTATAACTCTGGATGTTAAATAAATTGTTAAAGACATATGTCTATGCATATTTCACTACTAACATCTGCCAAGAATTTACAACACATATAAACCAAGACAAAATCCTCAGAGTTGACATCCGAACAGAATTTAAATTTGTTTAATATAAACTTCATTCTAACAAAGAACTTTTATCTTCCAATAAATTCATTCTACTGAATTCATTTAAACAAAGTCAGTGCAAATATTAGCATTCTATTCTATTTCAACTAACTTCGCTCCTTTGAGTGTTCCATAGGCCTCTTTCATGACACACTCCTTTAGGGCAGGTTATGGATTGATATAAAATTCACCTTAAAACTTGGCTCTTAGACTTCTATCTTCAAACACTTTGCAATAACAGGAATGCCACATTAAATTTTTCTACTACGGCCCTGGTTAAATTACAACTCTAATGAAGTTAAATTTCTGAGTACAGCACTTAAGATTCCCTAATGTTCCACTACCTCCAATCCAACTTCACCTCCTACATACAACCCTTGCACATCTTATGTTCAGGCAAGCAGAAATGATACCCTAATATTTAAAAGGCACAGGGAAGATTTTTGTATATAATGCCTGACTTTCTAATTCAAATCTTTGATGATCTAAGTTCCACTCATCTCTCAAAACTCAAGGTAAACATTTTTTTCCATTAGGTGACCACAAACTCCCATTTTCTCTTATGCACAGATCTCTCACTATACCTTCTCCAAGCTTTCAAAAAACTATTGCGTGCTACTTAAAAATTTTTTATTTTATTTTGTGTGCACAAGTATTTGCCTGCATGTGTGTATGTGTACCATATGTGTGCCTGGGGTCTGATGAGGACAGAAGAATGCATTGAATTCTCCAGAACTGGAGTCTCAGAGGGTTATGACCTATCTTGTGCCTGGGTCCTCTGCAAGAGCAGCCTGTGCTCCTAACAGGTTAGGCCTCTTTCCAGGCCCTATCATGTGCTACTTTTAATAAAAACCTTCATATATTTCTTATACCCTTTACCTATGAACTAAGGTAGGATGTGTCTAGTACCTGGGCACTTACACTCACATCTTTGAGTGTGAATATGTGAGTGTGAATAATAACTTTTGTAGAAACTGGAAGGCCACTTCCTATACTGATAACTTCAAAACTTCAGGTTAACCAAAGGTGTTTTTTGTTGTTTGTTTTTGTCTTTGGTACAGGGCTTTACAACATATTCTAAGTATTTACTGAAATGACTTCAAATTTACTGCTGAAAGGATGCTTGCATTGAATTATACGTCTACAAAATATGAAATCGGAGAAACAAATGCACGAGAATTTATAGGATGTCTGTGTCAAACTACTTTCCTATCGTAAAAACTTAATCTCACACCCTCTGCTCCCCGACACCGCTGGGACATAAAGGCGAAGACTGCGCCAACGTCATCATAAATTCGTCCCTCCATTTCCTAACAAGATCCCTAACACACTGGTTTACCGAAGAGTGACTTACATGAGCCATCTCTAGTGCAGAGGCCGGACGCAGATCCTTTCCTTTGGCAAAGAGTCCCTGGGAAAGAGCAAAACAAAACAGGCTAGTGCCAGACCTCGCTGGACCGACAGACGCCCGGGCCAGGCGGTGTCAGCGTGTCCCTCCCCATCGCCAGGCCTCGGGCCCCGCGTCCCCGGGAACCCGTGGGAGCCAGCGTCTGAGCTCCGAGCGCAGGCTCGGCCGGAGCCAGCGGAAAGGCCCAGGGCAGAGGTGGGGCGACAAGGGCGATACCGACAACAGGGTTCTGGTCACCCCTGAGTGTGCACGGGACACCGCGAGCGGCAACTCGCATCCATACCAGTCACCGGAGGGGCTCCGCGCCCAGGCCCTCGCCCCGTCCACTGTCAAGATGGCGGCGGCCACCGTCCCGACAGCGCCGCTGTTGGCGCCCAGGCCTGAGTAGTTGCCTCCGAGCGCATCGATGCTGCCCGTCGATCGATCTTCGAGTAGCTGATGCTCTCAGGGCTCCGGAAGGTGAGCTGGCGTTCCATTGGATAAACTGGTGGGTGGGTCAAGACGGGGGTGGGGCCGCGCTGGGAAGACTTAAAGGACTCAATGCCAATGTTTGGCGCCAATGTTTGGTACCAATATTTGGTAGATCTTTGCTTTTCATTGACTCGGTACCTTTGACAGATTTTTGTTGTTGTTGTTTTATTTATTTTTTTTTAGATTTGAAAGTTTATTTTATGCGTATGAGTGTTTTGTCTGCATTTATATGTGAGCCGAAGAAAGAGTTGGTTCAATGGGACTGAAGTTACAGATGGTTGTGAACTGTCATGTGGGTGCTGGGAGTTGAACCTGGGTCCTCCAGAAGAGCGACTTGTGCTCTTAACTTCTCAACTCTCCAGCTCCCTTTGACAGACTCTTTATCCTCCCCCAAGACTTCCCTACAGTTTCCAGACGATTCAGTCTTCTATTGTATGTACGATTGCTGTTTTTCAAGAACTATTGTTTTTGAGGACAAGGACAGTTTTTGTTTATTTGTTTCTGATTTTTTGGTCCCAGTTTTTCGGTGGTGTCAAACTCTTAATAGGCTTAGTAAACATACATATATTGTCCATCAATAGTGTATAGCTTATCTAACACATTTAAAGATGAAGCTCATAATTACTTCTGAAGTTTCTCTGATTTTAATAGCTGTATTAATGACTTTTCTGTTGCTGTGATTAAACACAATGACCAAGGTAACTTATAAAAGGAATTGTTTATTTAGGCTTACCATTCCAAGACCCTGAAACTGGGGGGTGGGGTTGATTGTGGCAACAGGAGGTAGATAGGGAGGCTGAAGCAGAAGCTGAGGGCTCACATCTTGAACTATAAGGAGAAAACAAAGATCTCACTGGGAATGGTGGGTGGCTTTTGAAACTTCAAAGCTGGTTCCCAGTGACATACTCCCTCTAGCAATGCCATACCTCCTAAATCAACCCCAAAAACTATCAACTTGGGACAAAATACTCCAAAATCTTAGCCTATGGGGGCCAGCCACTACAATAAACTTAGCAGTTAGAGAAAGTATTCATCAGGCATTTTGTTGACTCTGAATTAGAACTTGATGCTTTTCTTGTGTATTGACTGAAGTGAGAGTGTGCTTAATGATATAAACTGTATTTGTTACTCTATTACATCAAAGCTCCTTACTGTCATTATGATTTATTACTGATTATCACCTTGGCGAGGTGGAACACTGCTTCTCCACTGTGAATTTACTCTTTTTCTTTACAAGGAAGAAGAAAGGCCCCAAACTGTAGGAGTGGGTAATCATTCATCTATTTGAGGGCAGAGTGTCTTCATAATTAGCTAGAGATCTTCTTATGGAAGAATTGTCTGCTTCCACTTGTCGATGTATTCAGTTATTTATATTAATGTGGATTCACATTAATTTAAAATTACTTTTTAATTTTGTTTTTCATATTGATCCAATTTTGGTTTATTTCAGTTGTCACCTATGCTATGCACCATAGGGTTGGGTTTTTTTTTTTTTTTTTTGGTATTCATCAATATATTTGTTTGTCATTATTTCTTGAGATTGTTTAAAAATTTCTGGCACTATTAGATACTCCAGAAGCATCTTATATAATCTCTGTCTATCTGAGTCCTAGAATCAACCACTTTCCTAAGAAGACTTAGTCATCTACTTTAACCAATGTAAGAGACTTGACTTACCCATTTGCTACCCATTTACTTAACTTCAATTCTAGTGTGCATGTACAGTGAGTTCAGAACTGTTAAACTACATTCAGTGTACATGGATAGAGGGTTTGTATGATCAGCTAAGCCTGTGGGAATCAGATTCACCAACTATGTGCAATGCTTTTAGGTATTTCTTTTGTCTTTAGTCTTTTACACTACATTTATTTCTAAGATTACTCAGTTCAGCAACTCACTCCCTTAAAATTAGGTTGTTCGATGAATTTTCAATACTGTGCATTATCTTTCATTTCTTCCTCCTCTTCCTTGTTTTTATTATTTTTAAAGCATTTAAAAAATTTAATCCACATACTCTTTGAGCTCATAAGACTTCTTTAAATACATTTATTGTTTGTGCTTTTGACAAATACATATACACTGTCATGCATACATAATTAAAATGTCAGCTAGAGTGCTCGCTTCAGCAGCACATATACTAAAATGTCAGCTAGGGGACTGGAGAGATGGCTTAGTGGTTAAGAGAACTGGCTATTCTTCCAGAGGTCCTGAGTTCAATCCCCAGCAACCACAGGGTGGCTCACAACCATCTGTAATGAGATCTGGCGCCCTTTTCTGACATGCAGGCAGAACACTGTATACATAATAAGTAAGTAAGTAAGTAAGTAAGTAAATAGATAAGTCTTTTTTAAAAATGTCAGATAGGATAGTTTTACTATTAAGAATACTCTTTGTGCTGAGCGGTGGTGGTACACGCCTTTGATCCCAGCACTCGGGAGGCAGAGCCAGGCGAATCTCTGTGAGTTCAAGGCCAGCCTGGGCTACAGAGTGAGTTCCAGGAAAGGCACAAAGCTACACAGAGAAACCCTGTCTTGAAAAACCAAAAATAAATAAACAAACAAACAAACAAACAAACAAATAAATAAATAAATAAATACTCTTTGCTTTATCTATGAAACTGTTTCATGACTCAAAGTAAACTAATACCCATCATCTCTTTGCCTATTGTATGGTTTTGACTTTTATAGAATGCCAGAGATTAACTCTTAAAATACGTCATGTTTGTTACAAATATTTCTTTCAGTCAGCATCCTTATTTTTATGTGCCTTGATAGACCATTTCTGTCCTTTTTTTCAATGCCTGAATAGTGTTATAATGTATGAGTATTTGACTTTTTAAAACACTTTCCTGTATTACAGAATCTTTGGGTTTTTCATCCAAGTTTTGATGGCCATGAATAAAGCTTTTCTTAAGACTTGTGTGTAGTTTTTTTTTCCATAGACACAGTTTCAAATCAGTTAACACATGGGGAATAATTTCTCAAAATTATATTTTTAGAAGGCATTTGAAAATTGTTCTGTTAGATAAGCTGAGCATTTTTAATTATATTCAAATTTATTTAATAACTCATCATAGGTGTTGGCAACATGTTTTCACCCATGTCCAGTTACTATAATAAGTCATGTTCAAATTAATGAGCATTACAAACTTGTAATGTCTGACACCCTTACAGCCGTCCAGATAAATGACTATTCAATCTCAGGAAAAAGAGAGGATGTTAGCTAAAGTTTTCCAGGAAAGTCTATGACCTTCCTAAGGAACAACATCTGATGTGTTGAAAAATCTACACCCTTTAGGGAAATAGTCTCCTCTATAGCTTCCCTGGGCTTCGTATCTACTTCTACAGTGAGATACAGCTAGTTAATCTTAGGATGGAAAACAAATTTTTCTTACATTAAATTGTTTTTATTATTGTGCTTTTATCTTTTTCTTTTCATTTTCTCCCCATTTCCTTTCTCCTCCCCTTCTTCCCCTCCCTCTTTCTCCCTCCCTCCCTCCCTCTCTCCCTCCCTCCCCCTCTTCCTTCCTTCCTTCCTTCCTTCCTTCCTTCCTTCCTTCCTTCCTTCGTCTTTCTTGTTGTGTATAAAGTCTCAGGCTGGTTTTGAACTGTACATCCTTCAGCCTTAGTTTCCTAGTAATGGTATTATTGCTTTTGAGGCAGGATAGGAAGATAGGAAAAGTATGGGGGAATGAGAAGAAAGGGATCCTTGCATCCTGGAGTTTGATTGAAACTTTTTGCCAGCTGAAAAGCAAGAATTTCAGCACATTCAACAGTGTTTGCTATAAAGTTTATCAACATAGAGAAAATGTTACTTTTATATATGGATATTTAATTTAAAATTAGTAAGACCCAAGTTGAAGGTCTGAATGTATTTGACCTTGGGTAAGGGCTCATTTCTTCACGTGTTTTCTTGGGGGAGGGGGTTCTCAAATAAGACTATTATCTTTGAAGTCTGATGTCCTATCGTCCTGCATCCGTGTGATCTCAATTAGTCTTCAGCAACCTTCTAACTCATGAAAGGGCTGCATGTGACTACTGTAAAGATAGTGAAGTGTGATTCTTCTTTAGAAGCTCACATCCCTGCTCTGGGGTGTGTCTTTCTTTTTGAATGTCTCCCTTTTTCTTAACCCTTATGCTCCAAATCCATATTAAATGTTTTTTTTTTTTCTATGCGACCTCAATTCTGCTTCATACTGGTTAGTCCTGAAAGTCTATTCTGCCTGAAAACCACAAATCCTGGTTTGGCTTGAGTCAAGCTCCCTCAAGAATTAGGGGAACTCCTCAGATCGCTGAGGGCAATACAGTAGAGCTATGCCTTCTGCCTTGGTCCTATTTTTTGCTGACAGTATAAACCACTGTTGCTTGGAGTAGTTGCTTTTTAATACTGAAAATTTATGACTCTAGCAATTACTACAGTCACCAGACTTAAGTTGAAGGAGAACTGCTTCCTCCTAGAAAAAATAACTATGCACCAAAAGAACCAAGAAGAGGTGGGAACTGTTTTTTCCTTTTGGGACTTCTTTGCCTAGTCAAATTCTAGATGCCAGGTTCCTCAGAGAAAGAAAACACAGAACATAGAATGGCTCCAGGTAAGTTGGTAATTTCAAACTTTTATTTTATAAGCAGTAACATGCAATTAAGTCTGAATTTGAGGAGGGAATTCTGGATTACTTTTTTAATTTTAAATTTACCCAAGAGTTTCCAGTTTGAATCCCTTAGCCACCCCTATCGATCATTTTCTAGATTTGGTTGTACATATACTCACTGATATTACACCGATTGGTTGGCTTCTTAAACTATTTCTAGTTGGGTCACATGAGGCAAATTATTTAGTCTCTTTATGTTTTAGTTTTCTCCCCTCTAAAGTGGGCATACTACTATCTATCTCAGTATTTTTTTAGAATTAAATTAATACACACACACACACACACACACACACACACACACACACAAACTTGCAGTGGGGTGGAATGCTAAATGCTTCAG